TTGTCTTTTATTTTGAAACAGGATCTTATGTCAACGACCAGGTTGACCCAGCATTTGAGATCCTCTTGCATCAGCCTCCCAGAGTGCTTGGATTATACATCTGCGGGCCATGGCCAGCTTGCTTGGTATCCTCTTTATCCACGGTGTGCTTCTCAAATGGAGTGAGCATTGGAATCAGCCAAAAGGCTGTTAAAATGAAAATTATATGTAGGCTGTGGACATGGCTCACAGGTAGAGTAGCTGTCTAGCATTTCTGAGTTCTTGAGTTTCCACTGCCAGTATTAAAAAAAAGAGAGATTTCCTGCGTTCCACAACCCAAATATCTGTCTTAGAAGAACCAGAATGGGGCTAAGAATATATCTCTAACAAGTTCCTAGGTGTTAGTGTCTCTACAGGGATGCCATTTTGAGAACCATTTTGAGGACATGTGATTTCCAGCGAAGACTACATTTCCCAGCTTCCTTTGTAGCTAGGCAAGGCCATGTGACTATGTCCGCCAATAGCATATAAGCAGCCATCTTGTATGTTAAGATGGAAGCTGCAAGGTAAGAAGGGGTTTTTTTTTGTTTGATTTTTTTTTAATGTATTTTGGACAGGGTCTCACAGTGTGGATCTGACTCGTAGTGATCCTCCTGTTTTCAGCCTCCCAAGCGCTGGGATTACAGGTGTGCGCCACCACGCCCAGTCTCAATCCCTTCTCAGCGTGCCCCCTGGGCGGGGTGGGCACTGTAGGACGGATTGAACCCGGCTGCTCTGCTCCGCCTAAACAGGCACCTTAGAGAGGGACTTGTTTTGTTTTAGCACACGCCCATAATCCTAGCTATTCAAAAGACTGAGGCAAAAGGATCACCAATTCAAGACTCCCTTTAAAAAAAAAAAAAAAACCAGCATGATGGCACATGCCTATAATCCTCAAACTCTGGAGGCTGAGGCAGGAGGACTGCTGTTGGTTTGAGCCTAGACTGGGCTACACAGTTAAAGGCCGGCCTAAGCTGCATGGTAAAACCTTGTCTGGAAATAAAAATAATATTAAAAGGAGCTTGCTTTGTGGAATATCAATTGTGGAATATTCAATATTATCTGAAGTATATCTTTATATATGAGAAAGGAATAAACTGTTTAAGTTCTTGTATGTTGAGAATTCTTATTGCAGCAACTAAAACAGTATATGGGAAAATACATGGCCACTACACAGTAGTCCGTGAAACACTGCCTCTAACTATATGCTAAGCACTGTCCTATGCCTTCTCATAAGTACCCTGAGGTGTGGGCATTGTTATTCCCATTGTACAGATGAGGAAACTGAGCCTCGGGGAGGTACACATCCTGCACTCCAACCCAGGCAGTTACGTTCTGCCTTCCACTCTCCACCTTTTTGGAGGCTTTTAAAAACTCTTCACGCAGGGCTGGTGAGATGGCTCAGTGGTCTAAAGCACCTACTTAGAACAAGCTTAACTCTTCACGCAAATCCCTGGATGATTCCCTGAAGAGAGTGGCCAGCAAGAAATGGCCCAGGCTGCAGGCGAGGCATAGCCACTCACCGTGGACCCGCAGCCACCAAACCAGCAGAGCTGTTATGCCCATGAAAAAGAAGACACAGCCCGTCACAGTCTTCCACTCATTGGAGCGCCGGTTCATCTCTGCAAAGGTCTCTCCGAACTGGATCCGGTACACTGCAGGAAGTGGAGTGGGAAGGGGCCTCAGATGCATCCTCTCCGGGGCCCAGGGCCAGGGCTCAGCCCCAGGGGACCCCAGCCTCCCCCTCCTGGGTGGTCAGCAAATTCCTAGTGAGCGTCTCCTGTGTATGAAGTGTGGGATGGGGCGGGGGCCAATTGGGTCGGGCTCCCCGGGAAGGGTGGCACACAGGAGGCTTTTCTTAGTTGTCCTCCCCCTCCCCCTTCTCTATCAGTATATATAGAATTATAAAAGTTTTATTTAGGGGGATGGAGAAGGTGCTCAGCAACAGAGCTTTTGCCTTGCGTGTACAAGGCCCTGGGTTCAATCACCAGCACCACCAAAAATTAAAATTAAAAAAAAAAATTTATTTTTATTATTTATTTTTTTATTTTTTCTGGTACTGGGGATTGAACTCAGGACCCTGCGCTTGCCAGGCAAGCACTTATTCTGCTGAGCTGTCTCCCCAGCCTGTGCATGTTCTACCAACTGGTGAAATGTTAGATGTGGCCAAAACTTCAGTGAATGTTCAAAAACTTTAATAAACAATTTATTGTAGTAAATAAATTGCCCTCAATCTCCCTCAGAGTCCTCCCTGTTGGGCCAGGGACATAGCTCAGTGGCCCAGTGCCTGCCTGCTAAGTGCAAAGTCATGAATTCAATTTCCCCTACAAAAAAAAAAAAATCCCCCCTCTCTCTAAACACACATATCCCATCATTCCTGCCATATGGTGAAGCAGTTCTGGAAGTCCTCTTTGAGAGTGTCTAGTCATGCAGTTTTGCTGTGTCCTTGTCCTGAACTGATTCAAAACCTTTGCCTGATGATCCTGAGAAACGCCAGCAGGTTTTTGAAACTAGCAGTTAATTGATAGGATTCTCACCTTGACTAATTATATATGCTGATACCTGTGAATCAAGCAACTGCACGGAAGATAGCAATGTGTAATAGAAGGGTCACGCTTGGAATGCCTCTCATTCTGGTCTTCTAAATACGTACTTCTTATCATGACTCACCAATTATTACCATACTGTCTCTCAAGTAAAAGGTTTTGTTTTTTTTTTTTTTCTTTAAATAAAGGGTGGGGCGGGGCCGGGGAGATGGCTCAGTGGAGTAAGTGCTTCCCTGGCAAGCACAAGGGCCTGAGTTCAATCCCTGGTTACGCTAAATAAATAAATAAATAAATAAATAAATAAATAAAATGTAATAAATGAAAAAAAGACAAGAAAAAGAAAAAATATCACAGGACTGTCCTGCTACAATGCTGTATATGTTAGATTTCTAAATTTCTGTGTAAAAATATGTGTTTATTCCTATTTTTAAAAAATTATTATTTTTTCATATTCTGTAAGGACTTAAAGTTCAACACATCAATACTTGATGGAAAATACCTGTTCTATATTATGTCTAAGACGTTTGATATTTAGACCGATAGGATAAACCAAACTGCATATGTTGCGGGGTAATAATAAGCTTCTCTTCTGGAGGGTTAGCAACCTAAGTTTGTAGATCAAATATTGGAGAAAAGGAAGGGCTGCAAGGACAGCCAGCATTTTGGCCCTAGCCTTTCAAAGTCAGTGAAGACTCATGACAGAAGAACCTGTACTATAACATCATGTAACTCAGTTGTGCCCCAAATTTTCTGATCAAGGAGATTATGGAGTCACAGAAGAATGTGATTGATGATGTATAGTGTGCTTAAGGAGAGTTACATGGAGAGAAAACATTCTCTCAGGCTTTTATAGAGAGCAAATTGGTCAAGCAATGGCCGTGACTCATCCACATGACTGACACCGACAAAAGATCTACAAAGTGCAGTACGGGGTTACAGGATAAATCCTGAGGGTACTTGACTGACCTTATCAGATACAAAAGTTACATTTCTTGTTATAGGTCTTGCTTTATCTTGGTCTTAACCATACAGCAAAAATGTATAAAAATGAGGTATATAAAGTAAAGCCAAAAAAAACAGCTAAAAGGGGCCGGGGAGATGGCTCAGTGGAATAAGCGCTTCCCTGGCAAGTGCAAGGGCCTGAGTTCAATCCCTGGTTCCGCAAAAGAAAAAAAAAAAAAAAAAAAAAAAACAGCTAAAGTAAAGCCATATTAATATGCTGAGCTGTAAAAGGCTCAAGTCAACAACTTCTGCGGATAACCCACTACTATTGTGGACTGCTGGATTGTGTTGGATTGTTTGGCTGAATTCAAGCACCTGTAGTATTTAGATGCCAATAGAATACCCATCTCGGACAGGACTAAACAAAAC